AGTTCGGGTGATCAAAGGCTCTGGGTGCGGGTTCTCAAGGGTTGTGATGAGGCTGTTCTCCTTCTGGAATCGAGTTTGATGGAACACGTTGAGATTCATGAGTCTAGAAATGCTTATGAATATAATTTAGCTAGTGTACAACTAAAAGCCGCAGCTTTCACTACCCATATATGGCCTGTATGCCTTTCTCTACCGTCTAAGATTTCTAGCACCCACATTAACCCTGAAGCCTGTAACCTCAACTTACCGGTTCTTAGTGGGGAATGTGGGAGTATAATCCCTAGGTTAACCTGCATAACCTATTCCCTTGTTCCCTACTGAGAACCAGTAATTAAGTCAAACAACTTCAAGTCCCTAACTCATTCAACAGATCCAGAACTCTGAGTTGTTTTTCCAGCCACCAAACCTCACATGACAAAGCCTACACCCTACACTTCAAATCCCCATTCCGTGACCCCGCTCTCCGGACAAACCTGAAATCCTAAGCCCTCATGGGATGAATCTCTGAATTCTACATCCTAAGCTCAGATCTTTAAACCCTGTCCTCATGGGATCGAAGCCACAGTTGTTGATCTTGCCCTTGTTCCTGAGCAATAAAGGAGGCCTAGGCCTAAACATGTAAAAAGGTCTTCTAATTTCCTAAAAACCTTGACACGGAAAGCCTGTGCATGGTTCAAACCCTACCATGGCTTTACAGGAGCTAAAGCCATTCTTGCCGCGATGCTCAGATTTCTATAAAAATGCGCCTGGGTTTCGGTTTTTTTGGGATCCAGACTTGAAGCTCTCCTGAACCCTAAACCCTAAACCCTAAAGTCCTTGTGTGAAGGGATAATGTGGGGGAATCGTAAATGAGGGGACCTTAGTATATATGAGGTCATTAGAAATCCCTCTAAGGAACATAAACCTTTGTCCCATGGTCTTTCAAAAAAGGCTTTTGGGGCAGGTTAGGGCCAGTCTCAAGAAATGCCCAGGAAGCAGCAATGATCATGAACGCTACCGGTGTGGCGCAAGCGCAGGTCGCTTCACTGTGGCTAGAGCAAACAGTCACCGCACTGCAATGCAAGAAATGCCCGGTGGTAATGAGATAATTGCAATTTTGCTATCAAGCTTAGGATGTTAAATCACCATTGGGCAACACCATAGACTAAGACTAGGTTGCTCGACAGGACCCTATGCACGCCCTGCAGAGAAGATGTGTGGTATGGATAAGCTAAAGACAGTATAGGGGTCCCCCCTGAGAACTCCCAAATCAGCATGGTACCCTAAACCCTACACCCTAAACCCTTGTCAGTTCGTGACAGGCGTCTTGTTTTGGGTGTTGATCTCGCCTGGCGAAAGCAGTCCGAATCGGGGCTTCTCTGACCCCGCCTTACAGGAATGCTTCTTCCAATGTCATACCAGTATATTATGGTATATTATAGTACATCATAGTTTATTATGGAAAAGGAATAATATACTAATGTATATTATCATCCAAAAATATTCAAATATATTCAACTACTATATGCTATATCGGGGTAATATAGGGACATTGGAAACGAAAATGGAAACTACTATCTATGTATTTGTAGGGGTTTGGAGAGCTCATCTTCAAGGAAAGGGCTGCACAGCATTGGTCCAAATGGGCGCCGCACATATTGATGGACAGCCACCAAACCACCACACAGAGAGACGGCTTGTCTCATGTGCTTCATAATGTACCCATTAACCCACCGGCTCGGAACCGCAAGCCGTTGAAATCGCTTGACGTCGCAGACTGGCCACGCTGGGATGCCCTTACACTTGTTGTTCATGTACAATAGCTTACAGTGGGTCAGTAGAGAGTAAGGGACTGTATTAATTATACGAAATTCTATGTTGGGATTATATTCCCTTATTCCCTAGTAGCCACTAGTCACCTGCCTGGCAACCTACCTGGCACTCAAATCTCCCCCGCGCCTTGCACGAAGGACGGCTGGAACGCACCGACAAGCGCAAACTTTAAGCGGACGTAGTCCTGGTCTCAGGATGTCTAAGATTCATAGGGTCTATCGTTTGGGAATCAAAGGTTAAGGATTTACGCCTTATAGCAATTATCCAGAGGTTTGGGGTCGAGGGTATACCCGGAAGCATGACAAAAAAAAAGCTCCAAGATGTTCCTAGATGCGCCAGGTACGGACTTGCAGGTTAGCTTACGATGTGCTTGCAAGGACCCTCTACGGTCACGTAAAGTTAGAATTCAATCCGGAAAGTTTTGACGAATCGTAGAAGAGGAATCGAAATTTGGGCTACTGAGTTCCTGAAGGATACTAAAAGCAGTTTCCATTTCATTTTCCATGATGTTTTCATTTGTCTCTGTCGTATTGGTGTAGTATCCCCTCTGTAGCTCATTTTGCGAATCTCTTCAAGGATTCTCAGTTGGCCAACAATCGCCATCAGCGTCCATGTCACCGCTGCCTTTTGCAGACTTGGGGGGGTTTCCACAAATCGAGGGCCCACCATAGAGTCAAATATACTATACGATAATCGTTCTTTCCCGTTTGATTCTCCATTTTTTGCCCCCATCTCCCTTGCGATATCCGCGTATACCCCTACATTGTCTGAGTCCGGACGAAGGGCTTCAGCCTTACCCTATACAAGGGGTATGAGGTTGAAAAATCTCATCTGAATTTGAATTGATAGCTACGACCCAATCATTTTTGGATCCTTGCAACCTTCGGCTCATGGAATGAGGTGGCATATGCAGCTTGTAGGACTATATTGGCCACCCAGATATACACTCACCAAGACTTTGCAGGAAGCCTGTATGCTGTATGCTATATACACTCACCAAGTACCACAACCATGACCCCCGGTCTCATATGAGGTCTCGTGCTACGAGTGACAAGTCAGCGAAAAATGATAACTAGCTGCGGGATCTCGGCTGGACCGAGAAGAGCTGCAGTCTAGGAAATGACTTTAGCGCTTAGAATTCAGGGTTTAGAGTTTGGGGCTTAGAGTTTAGAGTTTAAAGCTTAAGGTTTAGGGCTTTGAGGTTGAGGGCTTGAGGCCGTGACTCCATTTGCCACCCGGTGCCCTTGCTTTGATACTTTGAGAAGCAAACAAGCTGGTCTTGATATCAACCGATGCGCGGCTAGATAGAACTAAGAAAAACCTCCCAAAGTCTCCTTACTAGTTATATATCTAGAATATCCAAGCAACGGAAACCTCCCGGTTCAACGAAAACGTCCTAGGTTTCCCTCAACCTCAACCCTGTCTGAAGTCCAGCCCTAACTCAAAGCCGAAACCGCAAATTGCCTCACAGAAAAGAGGTACCTCCTAACCTCCAAGGTAACCAGAACAAGACAGGAAGGAACGTCCCCTAAAGACGCCAGCAATTCGAAACTCATGAAATCGAATTCAGGTGCCCAAGTTTTAATGGACGTTCAGGGAGGATGTTGATACAACTATCCCAGAAACACTGGTATTTAAGACGAAACCCAACTCAACTGATTTTTTGTTGTGGGGACCCCGAACAAAGCAGGCAAAGTGCTGCTGACCCCCCATGTCAACGGCTTGTGGCGCTCCTTGGTGAAAAGGCCCTCGACTTCTGATGGGCTTAGCTGCTGCGATCTGCATTCATTGCAGGGGGACCGTGGCAGTTTGGGCAGACGTCCACCGTTACAAAGAACTTGAGGTGGAGCTGACAAGAAAGTAGAAAAAAAAAAGCTAGGCCTGAGTACAGGGCAGCGAAAGTGTTGCGGGTTATTGCACAGAGGACCTTGCCCGCTCTAGAATACAAATCTTCAAGAAAACCGACTAAGAAAGCTGTCAACACTGGCCCCGTTTTGCCAACCCTAGATGATACTGCCTCAAGTAAGGGCGCTCTTCATTTCGAGGCCTAAACTTGGTGACACTTTTTCCAAAAATTAACCATGTAGTGGAAGAACTTGTGACCTGGCCTCTTGATTCTGGACAATGTCTGCAATGCAGGATGTGCCTTCCCGGAAAATTCTCACAGGGAATTCAGCGGGGATCTGAGCAGATGCTTCGCAGGGATCTCTGTCGTCCCCTTGTCATTGTCAGATCACACCCGATGCATCAAGGGCCCCTGACGTTCAAAAACGGATAATGCGTAAACAAACTTTATATTGCATTTCTCAAGTTTGGGTCCGCATCTGTACCCATAAATGCAAGCTAGATAGTCCTGATTCTGTAGAAGCCGGAAAAGGGCCGCAAAATTTTGAGAAATCCTGAACAAAGGCATCTGGCCCCTTCAGCTGCAAAATGTGTAGCTTGGATGGGCGTCGGCAACTGACACAATGAATCCCAATCATGAAAACACTCCTCACATTGTGAAATACCAAGATCGATTCAGGGAAGCAGTTGGCAAAACATGCTTACCGTTATGCAGTTATGCGGTCGGCGTTTGTCACGTTTCTATACCTGCCCTGACACCCCATCAAGCCCTGCCACCCACGCTACAAATCCCAATATCGATAACGAGACTACTACAGGGGCCTAAATAATTACCACTATCATGTTGAGATCCATTTGAGGTACCATAGACCATAATTATATAAGGAATATGGAACCATAATATTGGGATTTTTCTAGGCTGCTATATTACGTAAGACCTTCACACCTCTTGCTCGCCGGCCTGAAGTCCAGTCATCGCGAAAGCGTTCCCTAAACAATCTCCCCGTGCATCCCCTCATAATCCTGCAAAGGAAAAGCTACGCCAATCACGAAAGCAGTAAGAAATAAAGTGTAGACTAGCGGTCTCACACTTGCCTAAAAACTGTCCAATTCTGCATTCCGCTAGAGCCTGACTAAACCCAAATCTCGTTGCTAAACTCCACTCCTTCAATAACAAAATCCAAAGGTCCCTAAACCCAAATCTCTAGCCCTATCCCAAAACCTCATCCATAAATCCTAAACATCCAAAATCCCGAAACAGGAAGACATCATCAGCTTCTTTTTCAAGCTAAGCCCTGAACCCTACACCCTAAACCCCCACACCAGGCAGCCGGCTTTTTTTGTCAAGCAATAGGCTCCGACAGCCATCCACCAAGCTGGCCTTCACTTGCCGTGGTGACCTCCGCCTTGGCAGTGTCTGAAGTAAACAATATGGGGATTATTTAGGGCTTTAAAAAAATGTACAAAGGGATTGTATAGAATTTATAGACATTGTTAAGATTCTTAAGATTAGGGTTTATACCTCAGCCTCGGCTATGTCTCAGATTCGAGTGGTATGTTTCCCATACTTTATTGGGTTTTGCTAGTTTAAGAGCTGTGCCCAAGCATATTTTGAGAAAAGACTCTAAAGCCTTAAAGCCTCAACCCTAAGCCCCTAAACCCCCAAAAGCCCCAAACCCCTAAACTCTAAACCCAACATCCTAAACCCTTAAACCCTTAACCCTGAAACCCTTCGGAGCTCCCAGCCTCAGCGGATGGCGCGCAGGTCAACCTTGGGGATGCCGCCGTCCCACGCAGGAAGCCCTCCAGCTCCTGCCGCGGTTTAGGGATTAGGGTTTAGGGTTTAGGGTTTAGGGTTTAGGGTTTAGGGTTTAGGGTTTAGGGATTATGTTAGGTGGACCGCCCACCCAGTAATAATGACTATAGGGGATAATAAGGATTATATTAGGGTGCTCTTATATTCCTATTATACCACTATTACAGGGTGGGGGGTCCTCCTAAGGCTTATGGTTTAAGGCTTGGGGTTTATGGGTTTCTAGTTGAAGGGTTTAGGGTTAAGGGGCTTTGTAGTTAGGGCTTAAGATCTGGGATTTGGAGTTTAGGGCTTCTGGTTTAAGCTTTACAGCTTACGAGTTAAGATTTAGACTTCAGGGCTTCGGATTTAGGATGTAAGGTTTAGGGTTTGGGATTGAAATTCTTATGTTTGAGGTTCAGGATTTAGGGTCAAGGCAATTTTGTACCGAGATGCCAGAGTCCTCACTAGAGATACATTACATGGGGGGCCTATACAGTTACCTATAGTATACGATGTAGGGTTCAGGGGGGGTGTAGACTCTAGATTTGAGGGTTTCTCAAAAATGGGGTGCCCCTGAGGACCACATGGCGGCTTGTCAAAATTACGGAACTTTTGGGATCCTATTACATGCTCTTGAGGAACTCCCCTTTCGCTGTTGGGAGCTTGGGGTTAGGGGTTTAGAGTTCGTTGTTGAAGACTTGGGCTTTAAGGATTGCAGGGTGGAGGTGTCGGCTTTGAGATGTAGAGTCGGACTTCAGTTTGGGGTTCAGGGGTTTGAAGGCTTTGGGATGGGAGCTTTGACTGAATATCCCTGCCCTTAGTGAGAAAATTATGGGGAAACAGCAAAAAAAGGGCTGTGGATACATCATGGGTCAATGACCGTCTACAATCATGGCTCACTTTCTGGAACCCTTCTGATTGCACATCTAGGAAGCCCGAATCCAAAAAAAACAATATGAACATCTTTTCCATGTAGTTATCCATGTTCTTTTCCATGTGATGCTCCCCTGTTGGGCCCTTTACCCCGTATAATGTCCGATACTGAACGTAACAGCTCAAGTAGAAAGCTGTCTAGCTGCTAGCATGTGCACATGGATGAGGTATGGATATCCAGACTTGCTCCAACCATAAAGACTCTAGAATCCCGGAGCTCCAAAACTGCTGAACCCTGGAGCCGAATGGACCTACATAATCCCTATATAACCCCCATATACCCCATATGACCCTCACATACCCTATATAACCCCAATATAACCTCTATGTACTACCCTTCACATCCCTGCTATGGGCACCCAGAAACGTCTCTTCAGGGAACTTCTACAAGGACTATCCTGAAATCTGATCTAGTGTGACAACCTCCTTGGCAACAGGTCCCCGTAGAATTGGACCTGTTTTTGGGACTCCTTAGAAAGCCCAAGAAGTGGGAAGAAGGTACTAGTATCAGCAGATTTGTTGGAAGCAGTGACAAGCATGGAATAATCTGCTCACTAAATTGCAAAGTGTGTACCTGCTTTGAACCACCCCCTAAGACTTTTATGAAGTTTGCTGGAATCCTGAACCCCAAACCCCAAACCCTAAACCCCAAACTGCTACACTGGACCACCCAGGCCTCGGGCGATGCGCCCGGCATTAGCGAGGCGAGAACGCCCCTAACCTCCCAGGGACTGGGATTTACGTCGTCTTAGGGCTCAGGGTTCAGGGCTTAAGGGTTTAGGGTTTAGAGTTAGGGCTTGGGGTTCAGGGTTTAGGTTTCTGATGGGGGCCATGTGGGCGTCCATGCTAGTTGGTGGTTTGCCCATGGCCCTACTTTGAACAGACGAACCCATACACGCTTATTTACCCCTTCCCTAGGTTTGGTAATTTCCCAAAACAAGGAAACCCCAATATAGAAATTTAGATGCTAATATACGATAGTCCTGAGTATTGGGACCCCCAAAAAGGTACCTCTAATTTTAGGAAACCCCCATATACGGACTGTTTTGGGGTTGAGGGCCTGGAGGGATGCTGTCTGAAGACTGCCTAGAACAATTACAGGCGACTCTGCTACAATCACCTCAAGCTTAAAACTCCAAAGCACGAGACACTGTAACCCCAATCTCCTTAAACTACCCGTTAACCCTAAAACCCCCAATCCCAAAACTCCCAAACACAAAAGCCCCAAAACCTCAAACACAAAAACCCTAAATCCTACAGCCTTAAACCCTTACTTTGCAGCAGCCGGAACCTGCGCACCCATAGGTTGGAGACCTGGCGGAGTGTCCTGTATCGACGTCGAAGCTAGGACCCCGAACATGCAATGTAGGGCATGAACATAAACATTTGTATGAGGTACATGTATACTGTTTGTACATATGTATATCAGAAGAACATGCAAACTCCTGTGCTGTTTAGGGCTTGGTGTTAAAGAATGGAAAACAAAATGGAAAATGAAATGGAAGCGTGGCGTGTATAGTGGTTTAGACGGTGCAGTTAAGAGCTACAAGCGCATAATATCGCTCATCGTTCCTGCTTCTACAGTACCAAGACTATTCACACAAACTTGATGTGGAGTTCGTACGATGCTTTCTCAAGATTCCTTCCTCAAGACCATGGTGGACTTCCATGATAACCCACGCTCAAATCCTTTGATGTATCTTATTTTACCCTAAACCATAGATTATGTGCCCCCTTTCTTGCTCACGGCAGGACGGACAGATGTGTAGCAAGCACTGGGCCAGGGTTGTCAAGAGTAGGCCCGCTTTGGGGATCCTAGCTATCAAGGGATACATGAATTTGATTGCCAGTCTCTATACAATGCCTAGACACGACAATAATGCACATCCGTTTAAAAATCAACTTTACAGAGCCTTTCAACAGATGCTTGCTACTTATACAGCGGAGTCCTCAGCCCAGCCGAACGCCAACTCTTGCAGGAATCCTCAGCTGACCAGAAAAGAACTAAGTCCTGAAACAATCAGCACCGAAATGGACTAGCCGGAGAACGGTTCCAACGAATTGCCTTTTCGTCTGTCTGCATCCAGGAAGACTGCAAGTTCTGTCTTCACGCCAAGCAGCTCTTGCTGTCAAAGTCAGCTGGCAGTGCCTCAAGGGAAGCTAAAACAAGGAGTAGGCCTGCCGAATAACTTGAGTTAGGCCACCACCCCGTGATACTGTTGATACTCAAATTCTGCATGACCCTAAGTACCCCAGACAGTAGCAAGTTTGGCAGCCTTGTATACAAAGATTGTGCAGGACGTGCTTTGTATCATTCGCAGTGGCCACAGGCCACGTCAGCTTTCATCTGTTTTTCTTAGCACAAAGAAGGAAGACCCCTATGATCACCCTGTAATACATCCACCCCTCTTTTGAGAAACTTCAGAGCTAAGACTCCATTCCACGCTATTTTGAAACCGTTGCTGAAGGACTTTTGGTCATGAAGGGGCACCATATGGGTAATTCTTATATTTAGGACCCAGGTAGGTGTTCTCTGTACTAATTATATCTAAGTAAACGAGCCTGTAGGATCTTTGCCTACCCAGCGTAGGGCATAGAAAAAGAACAAAGAATCTCTGGAGGGTTCTTGGAAGAAGTTTATGAGGATGCACTGGGCACTTCCCTGTTTCTGCTGAGGAAAATCAGTTTAGGGCTGACCGGCCGTAGGCACTCATGTATTCGTACTGCTCTTGTGATGACAAAGGGGTGCCGAGACGCCGAGACTGCCCCAAGTCAGCAAGATGTTCAGTTGAGGGAAACTGGCAGGATTTCATAGTGCATGCGACACTGGGGTCTAGTGCCATAAGGAGGAAATTGAATTGAGCCATTTTCCGTGAGGAGGAATTCAATGGTGTGGCTTCAAGTGGCGAACAATATTTTCTGGCGCGACCTGCTTAGATCGTGCTAGTTTCGATCTGGCAGGAATATGGGAAAATGAGCCCTACATCCTGTCCAATCCCACAGTTCTGAAGCCCAAACTCCAACCCTGAACCCTGAACCCTCCAATCCCTAAATCTGGCTCCCTGTCCAATTCTCGCACAACCTTCATCTGAGCCTTGCATATCCTCATATATAGCCCTGAGATGAACTCCCACAAAGGTTCAGGGGAATCCTCTAAACAACATCCGATTATGCACCGCCAAACCCTCTGAGTCCATGAAACTCCCGCGAACGTCCCGAGCGTAACATCGGCAGCCCTAAACCCTAAACCCTAAACAAATGAGGGGTCCACCTATGTGCCCCCTGTGTCAGGATGCTTCACATACCAACCTGGCCTTTGCTGCCACAAACCGCTCGATCATGCCACCTGCCAGGACAAGGCATGGGCTTAGAGTTGTATTTGGGGTAGGGTTTCGGGTTTAGGGTTTAGGGTTTAGGGTTTAGGGTTGGTCTGGGCCTTGAAAGCCCTAACAACCAGAATGCCGTCTCGCGTTTGTCCTGGTTCTTTGCCTTGCTGCTTCTTCCATTTTCATGTTTGCCACATGAGCTATATTCTAAATCCTAATATCCCCCTTAATAACCCCCATAACACTCCCCAATAGAATCCCGTGCATAACCCCTTTTAAGAAGTTTAGGCAATTGCTCATATCTTTCTTCCGTCTTCGGGACGTCGTGAGATCTCGTGAGCCTTACCCTGGAGTCCGTGCCCTCCCGAACATCTGAGTAGCGTCTCTTTTTGGTGGTTAAACCCAGTAAGATAATATTCCTTAGATAAAATACTATACCCCAAAAGGAGGATGTAATCTTACTCTTCAGTAGGTACCATAGTATCCCCAAATTAAATACTACTCATCTGAGCTTCTGCAAACTTGGCAACTCGTATCTGGCTAGCTGACCTGAACCGACACTCTTGCTCGAGTGCACCTTCCTGGGATCAGTGCCCTACCTAACTCTGCTTGATCTCTACCAAATCCTGATTCCTGATACTGCCATACTAATGCCCTCATGTGCGAATTTTGCCTATAGTGCCCCTTTCATAGATAGAATATGGCTTTGGGTATACTATACTAAAATCCCCATATACCCCATATTCTATCTACGTAAGGGGGACTATAAACTCACTTCTCCTCACACATCCCCTAGTACTGCCTCAACGTGCCCTCATCCCACAGGCCCATACCCTGCATGAACACCTAAAAAAACCCCAAAACCCCATAGTCCACCTTAAGTAGATAGAAGATGGGGTATATGGGGCTCTTATTAAAATATACTCAAAGCCATATTCTATCTACTAAAGGGGGACCATAAATAGTAGTTTCCATTTCTTTTCCATTATCCCCATATACCCCTAATATATCCCCTATATAACCTCTATGTACCCCTCTTCGCTGCCTGAAAAGTCCTCAAGGAAGCGGTGGGCTAGAAGAGGCCAACATCTTCGGGGCGCCTCTTGAAAAAGACCTGGGAACAACGTTACATGAAGGGATTATGCAATCTAGCTCCTAAGGAAGGACACGATTTTGTAGGGTTTGGGGCTTAGTTTGAAGTTGTTGGGGTGAGAATTCTTGCATGGTTGCTACTGTATTGGGGTCCCTAGGAACGGTCCTTCCCTTTTTCCGAAATTTAGTCGCAGGCTCCTAGTGTTCAGAAACGTACATAAACTAAGCATCTCCACGCATAGACTGTCAGAGTTGCAGCAAGACCTGGCAAACAACCAAGACGTGGGGGGTTCTGTGCGCGCTCTCATTTCATGATGTTGTTCAACTAGCGACTCGGCAGTGTATCCAAGGTGTATTCAACACATATTCCAACTGAAGAGCGACCACGGCTCTGTACTTACAAAACTTCATGTGCATACAGAGGGCTTCTACAAAATCCTTATGGGAGTACCAGACCAGTTAAGGAATCATCTGGGCATGCCGTCAAGACACTGCACCCCAACGACACAAAGTCAGGAGTCGACAAGGCTGAACCATTTTTGGGTGCAATTGGCTTGCCTACAGTTCGGGTTCAAGGTATGGGAATTTGTGTTCCCAAGCTTTCAGGTCTCAAATCTTCATACACTTGCAATGTGCTCTTGCGGATATGTTGATATGTCTCTCAGTTTGTGGCTGCAGGAGGCATGGGGACAACCAAACTTCGAATCTTCAAACCATCAAAGGCATGCGCTGAAAGCTCGTTCCCCACAGGGAAGCAGAACGGTGCAGGCAAGGGATCTGCAGGTGCCTCAGAATTATATAAGAACTTTACTTGTGCTCGAGATTTCTGGACGTATATAAGAATTTGACTTCTGCTTCATATTTCTGGACAAATGCCTCAACAAAGGTTGTAAAAGTCCTTTCTGACCCACAATCTGAAATAGCAGCACTTGGCGTTTCTTCAACGGGCTTCAAACCCATTCGTTGCTGAAGCCAAGGAGCGCATATGGATTGGCATGCCATCCTGGTAGGGTTTAGCATGAGATCTCAACGTTTAAGCTTTAGGCTTGGAAGATTGCAGAAGCATTTTAAAAATTCAATGTGAAGCAGCTTCAAAGTCTCTCACCCGCAGCGTGTTCTACGTGCGTACCAGATTCACAAACTTGGGACTTATCCACTCAAACGTTCATGTGTCTTGGCTTTTTTCTTGCAATTGGCTGCACAAACGTGGAGAGTGTCTGACACTTTCTTTTGGGATTGCTTACGAGCCTGCATGCAACAAACAAATTTGTGGTGTTGAAGGGGCTGCTCGGCGTTGGCTTTCGATTTGTAAACCTCAAATACCCGGTATCCATGTCATCTCCATTTGCTGTCCTTCAATTCAGTCTGTCTCGCTGCCTGCCTCGTCCTCATTCTGGTCTTGAGCGGAGGGCGAAAGCCAGAAATTCAAGGAGATGTTGTCGCCGTATCCTTCGGTGAGATATGTTAAGCTTTGGTTCCGGGGCCTGAGGCGCAGCACCAAACATGGCTTCTGATTTCCCCTAAACCCTAAACCCTAGACCCTTCTGGGGATCCAGTTTACAAGTTTGGAGTTCAGGCTTTCGGGATTGTTGGCGCTTTGAGGTCTGCATTTCAGGACCTTTTCTTGCGGTTAACAGGGGCCCTACGGGTCACCCTGCGGGCCGCTGTAGCTATGGCTACATCAAGGTAAAAATGTCTTCTCTTCAAGCAAGCCTTGATCCTGCACTTGGTACTGCCAGCCCCGCCCCCAGACAAATGTAGTACCATAACAAAGAAATTTAAAACACAAATATCCGTTATCAGGGGGCGGGGTTTGTTGTTAGAGGGCGGGAGTAGGGTTGTCAACACTCTGAAGATATCCGCCAATTCAACAATGCTACCGTGGGCACTTACTGCCGTCAAACAGCGAGCCCCTCCTCTGCAGGACAAGCTTTGGCAGCATCAGCGTTCAAAATTGGATTGGGCAACGATTTGCATTTTCATCTGCAACGACATTCCTCTTGGATAGTTCTTAAAACCTGTGGTGAAAGGCCCAAACCCTAAACCCTAAACCCTAAACCCTACACCTTCGGAACCCTGACACCCAGCTAGCTGAGGCGGACTGTTCATCTCCTTGGCACACCTGATGCCACCAGAACCTTAGTTTAGCTTTGGGTTTCGGGTTTAGGTTTAAGGTTGTTAGGGGGCGATGGTTTAGGGCTAGGAGTTCTGGGTTGAAAGGTCCATACTACAGAAGCATGGCATGGAAACAAGGTCGTCTGTATCTGAAACCCTCAAAACCCCACAAACATAACTTACAAAATCCAAATCGCACACCATGAAACCTCACCCTTTACCTCTCAGACCAACACAAATCTAAACAACCAGTGAACCCTTGACGCTGAACCTGATGCCATCCTGATTAGTGTGGCCCCCTGTGGCCCCTCAAACAATACGTCCTGTTCGAAAACACCCGAAACAAATTGGGGGGATCCGTCGTTCCTCTTCAAACCAATACGGGCAGGAGAATCCTTATCCTCCTATTGGGAAGGACTGGGCTCTGTGTATTAACTCTCGGCCTGGATATTTAAAAGTCTGGCCGTTAAAGCCGATAGTCTTGTCATCTCACCATGAACTCACCTGAAACAAAAAACTTACGTAATTGGGCCCGCAATACTTCTACGTTGTAAAGACTCAGAAGACCTGTGGCCTAACCCCGTGGACATTGGATTGTCTAGCCTGCTCAAGTAGGTGATGGAAAAAGAAATCGATGGGGTGGCATCAGATTCCAGATTCCGAAAATGATAGAGCCTGACCATCACATGTAAGTCTAAACAAGCAAACCTAAAGCAAAACCTACAGCATGAACCCTAAAACCAGAACCTAGCGGCCGCGGCAGGTAGAGCAAGTCCCCCGGCTCCAGTGAGGCTTCCAGGCACTGCACATCAGCAAAAGCCGGGAAGCCTCTCACCCCATGACTCAATTAGTTTTGGCTTTCTGCTTAGGTAGAAGTAGTTTATCTGGGGGCTCTCAAAAATCCGAGTCTTTTGGGGAGCCTACAAAGCATGAGTTCTAGCATCTCGGGCGCTAGGACGGATATCAGCTTTTTTTTGAAGTGTGCGCTTCAGCCGCATCAAGTTGCAAAATGCTGTAGCCTTTGGTACTTTGTTTGCGCTGCCGAGCAAAAGCCTCGGTTTTGAGGTGCACAGATATATCAACAAGTCAGCCAAAATCAGCCAAGCAACGATCCAAGTCCTTGTTCCAGGATGCAAGGCATGAGACAACAGTACTTCCATAATATGTCCGCGTAAGAAGGATACCTCTGGGACTGGGGCCCCCAACTTACGTGGCAATATTGGGGTCATATTGAGGTTATATTGGGATTATGGAAAATAAAATGGAAACTACTTTTTAGGGTTTAGGGTTTAGGATTAGAGGTGTAGGCTTTAGATTTTACGGCTTAGGGATCCCCACGGCACTTTGTTCATCCAACGCAAGAACCTGACAACGGCGCTCAACATGCACAAGATGCCGCAGACATGTAAACGATGGTAATGGTTACCAACTTGGTCCTGAAACCCTCCGTGCAAAGCGAGCTTGCTGAAAACGAGAGCAAACCGCGAGATGGGGTCCATAGAACCGCGAGAGGAGCTATATAATGGTATATTAGAGTATACTAAAGTATATTCTGCTATAATCTGGTATATAATAGAATATTATAATACATTAAAGTGGGCCCCAGCTCGCCTCAGGGTTCCTTCGAGTTCTAGCCAGCAAAGGTTTCTCCGAGCAGGGGTGCCCTCAAACACCCATGGGGTACATTGGGAAAATACGCAGATGACCGTTTGGAATCCTTTCAAAACACGCCCACATCACCAACATAACCTTACGCAGGGGATTTGCACTACGACGGTCACATGGGGCGTAGCTAGCCTGAACCATTAGACATGCCTTTGAGCCGAGAGGCTGGTTGCTCCAGGTCCACCATAGCGAAGGAGTCCAGCGGATGATCGATAGGATAAGGGTACACTGCCTCATGCCAGCTGGGAGCTTTCCAAAATTGTGCCATCCATTTTCCTAGATTCCTACAACACAGTTTGCAAGCATTTCTCCAGTAGAGGGAAGGATTTGAATTCTGATGATGGCAACAAGATTCAAGGTAAGGTCTGCTTTTGATAGACGTGTTGCTCATGTGCACGGGATCTTGCTAGGAGAGTTCCTAGGAACTTGCAAGTTGGCTCTCAGGGCTTGCGGAGTTGTGGTTTTGGCAGTTGGTTTACTCGGCCTTGCTACTCTATACATACGTGTATATCTATCTATATGTGTATATACATATAAGTATACGTATGTACATTATTTTTGGCTGGGGAGCTAGTCAGTTGTGGCAGGGTCGGGTTTTATGCGCTTGCTTTATTCAGCTCCCTTTAAGACACTCCCAAGTAAGCTGCAGTCCCAGGAGCAAAAGTCTCTTCAGGCGGAATAAGCAGAAACTGCTTCTCCCCACAGATCTGAGCGTGCAAATTCTCGGCCTTGTCCTTAGCTTCTATGATGGCAGGATGCTGCCCTAAACCCTAAACCCTAAAAAGTAGTTTCCATTTTATTTTCCGTTATCCCAATATGACCTCAATATAACCCCAATATTACCTAACAAAAAACCTCGAAATCCAAACTGCGAGGGGCTTAGGATTCCGAAGCTGCTGCGATGTCAGGATACCCAAGGCATTAGGTCAGTGCAGACGCGACCTTCATTAGCCACTGACGACGCTGGAGGACCTGTACATTCATGGCCTTATTGAACCCAGCAACATCCAAGAGTCCTGCCTAGGAGGCGCGAAATTTACCTGCAGGCAACATAGGCTTAAGGAAAAAATGTATGGCAAAAATGCTGCAAGTAGGGTGTCTTCCACCTGGCGGGCCCTTAGAGATGCTAGAGATACATTCACACCAAACAGACTCCAATAGGGAATGTAAAGGAATAGAATCATCCAAGGATTGTTTCGGAGACTGCCATGTTTGTCAACACCACCAGTGAATCGTTGGACTACATGTCTGCAAAGGAAACCCTAATCCCTGAACCCAAAACCCTAGACCCTGAAACCTTTTAAAACCTAAGGCAAGTGTCGTAGTGGCAGGGGGTGAGGCTGCCACCTCGCCCAATCCACAGCTGATTGTTCTCCTCAGTTGAGCTATAGTCTCAACTCCGAGTATCCTCCTTACTAACCCTATAATATCCGAAAAAGTCCCGTATGTAATCCCCTATGTAATTAACCCCCTTTGTGGTGCTTAGACTATAGCCTATAGCTCCGTTTGCCAGGTACATGCAACTCTTGTGTAGCCTGACAATATGACTAGGAGCAAGGAAAGGAACATATAGGGGAGCATAAGATAAACCCATAAACCCTAAACCCTAAGCCTTAAACCCTCAACTGTCAAGACCTGAACGTTTTCCTGACTAGCTCAGAGGCTTGGGGTTGTTCACGATTTTGGGAATGTGCGATAGGCTTTTGCATTTGTAGGTTCTCTCTGCTTTACAAATCTGCGGGGGTAAATGATAAAAACACAAAATCCGCAATACCAACCCGACATCCTAAGTTGTATAATGTGATGATAGCCTTCGTGTTTTCCTTCCTAGTTACGAATGACAAGGATTTCTGTGGGTTGCCCAGGAGGATGTGGGGTAACGCAAGGGCCGAAACAATACTAGAAGGGTTTAGAGACCAGTTCTCTTCGTTGTATGAAGATTGCGCAGGGTCTCTTCCCCGCTCTTCTAGTTTCACAATCTCCTAGCCACCTTGCACCCCTAACCCAAAGCTCTACAAAGCATAGACCCCAACTGTAGTCAAGGGTCCATGGGGCCCAGCTGGGCGTCCTGGATAAGCTGGCGTAGCCAGGGCCACTGGAAGTTCTCTCGGTCTTCACGCATGGCATCTCCATACGGGTCCGTGCCTCAGCGAAATTCAATCCTGCGTTCAGTTTTTGGGGTGTAGATTGCATTGTTGGCAAGTTTATACTTATACCCCTGGAACGGTCATAGTCAAGTTTCAACAGCCGTCAAGCATGTATGGATGAACAACTTGAAAGGGTTTTTAACTTGGTACATCAACAGGCCACCTCATGGGGCTTTGGGTTAACGTGAGTCTGACGCTTACGGAGCCCTAACACTAACCCTAAACTCACGTGACTTAGGGGTCCCAAAACACAAGACTCCTGTTAACCTGTACGGTGAGCTGACGCACCCCACAAATTTCAGCTGCTTGCCAGGGAACCCATAGCTTCCAACGGACGGCCCACAAATGGAACTTGCCTCATCATAGAGTTTGGGGCCTATGGGGTACGATTTGATGCTCACAGCTCCATTAGTACAGGTGCTAGGTGGATTCATCTTATAAGACACGAGATTCTGCGCATTAGAGGAATGCCCTAAACCCTATATGACCCCAGTATAGTAATTTCGATTGTAGTTTCCATTATCCCCAATATAATAGCCCAATATTACCCCAATACAAGGAATGCAGAAGGGGCTACGAGGTTCCTGGTCGTTTAGGATGAAAGGGTAGAACCTGTAAGGACTGAGAAGAGTAGGTTGCAAGTGAGCTGCAATCAGAGGAGTTGAAGGTTTAGGTACATGGGCCAGGTGACAGGTACTGCTTTGAAAATCTGCATCCTAACAGTACACACTGTTGAACCCCAAACCCAAGCCCAGAAAACCTTAAACCCTAGCCCCAAGTAGTTGGGTGAGCCTTCTAAGGATGGGATCATCCTTGTAATAAGTTCCCCACACTGGGACCACAGCTTGGAAAAACTCCCGTTTGAGCCATTTCTTGGGTGTTTGAACCCAGATTCTACTCCTCTACTGAGAGTACTACAACCAAAAGCAGCATACGATCTTACTCTTTCTCGAGGGCTCTAGTATCCCCATTTGAGCTTACTACTGCTTCAGTCCAGGGTGCATGTAGTAGGCGTGTCCAGAGTCAGAAGCACTCTTCTCAGCGAAGTCTGTGAAGTTCATCAAGGTCACCACACCCTCACCAACACCTTTATAGCGGTGCTTTGTTACCTCTTTGGGCTACCTAAATGAGAGCTAGATAGGTATTGTACGGAACGCTAGCGTTCTATAATGGTAGCTATAAGAGGCCATAGGGTATCACCTTCGTATATCTTGGTTTTTCCTACCTAGAATGGTTTAGGTAAGGACCAATGATAAAGTGGATGAAATTGGTATTGGGTTGATTTGCCTTTACCCAGAACTCAAGGCCTGAAACTGAACATGGGGATTAGCGTCTTACATCTTCTTACCGCTAGCTCCATAGAGGTAGCTTCGTTCAACCTTCCCCAGGGTTTAGGGTGTAGGGCAGGCTCTGCAAGGTCCCCTATATTCAAAAACAAATGTATGTTACGGGAAGATCTATTATGAGGGATTGGGGAGTCATTGTTAGGGTGAGGTGATCACGTGGCAATGGGGGAAATGTGTAGACGGGCAACTACAGGCTGGATTCATAATTGGGATTACAGAAGGATTACCAGCTTTAAAACCAAAAACCTGGCCTCAGTGTACGAAGCTCGGTCATAACTTGTAACCCTACTGCCTTATCTTCCCCCATAAATCCCTTATAACCCCTATAAACTCAAACCTAAAACCCTAAAACCCCAACACCCTAACACCCTAACACCCTAAAACCCTAAACCAAGCCAGTAGAATCCCTAGGCTGTAACCATTCCAGGGCTTGGCCCCTCTCAGGCCTTCGCCATACACCCGCTGGAAGCGCCGCTGCGGGGCTGGTGCGATGTGAACTCGCCACTCAGAAGATTGCGCCATATTGCCTGGGACGCCCAGGGGGAGCCGGAGGATGGAACCACTAAGCACGATTCAGGGCTTAGGGTTACTACAAATTTGGCCTCACTAGACTCTTGAGAAGATCAGAAGCTAGGAACCTGCAGATCCAATTTCGGGAAATGATCCTATGCAGACCTCATACACCCGCCGTATGGGATCTTCCAACAACAAAGGAGTTCCCCTAACACACCCCAACTGTCACAAAAAGGACTCGTAGTTTTGGGGAATCCCCCTACGGGCAGCTAAAGCCTAAACCCCATATTGGGACCCCATGCCCCTTGAATAACCACACGCAGACTGAATCAGCCCAAAATCACTTTCCAGGTATTCGAAGGTCCATTTCTCCACTGCGTTTGCACCTTGGAGGCACACCAGGAGAAACATAGGCATGAGGGTTCCCAGAAGTAACTAAAGCCCCCCAGGACCTTGCAAGCTCTAATCTTAAATACCACAGCTAACCAAACGTTTCCTGCAGTACTAAGGCCGATCGGGACTCCCAACTCATGCAACTGACTATCAGGCACGACCAAACAGCATGAAGCATTTGGGGATATAGAAGAGCAGATGCCATCAGGTTCCGTTCCATCTTTTAGACTCCAAAAAATTCAAGGCCACATTCAGAGGCGTGCCTGACAAATGCTCAGACATGTTGGGAACCGCCCTGTGAACAGGCCCGCAACTTTGCCTTGCCAAGGTCATCAGACTTCATGATCCAAGGAGCACAGCGGGGCGTTTGCAAGCACGACTGGCTCTCGAAGTCGTATTCCTGGGGATGCCGGCTCTGCTGGAAGCGCATAAGTACTTCAAACAGGGCTATATGAGCCATAGTCTAAACTTCTCGTATCACCCTTACTAACCTCTATAATAAACCTCTATGTAATCCTCTATAGAAACCCCCTTTAAGGAATTTGGGGTTAAGCTCATATGCACCCCAAATACGTCTTGGAAGTATAGCTATCCTACCTGTACACCCAGATACTGTTACCCGTGGGCTGTAGCTGTAAGTACAAGGTCACTCTGACTTACGCTATACCATAATTATTGAACTAATCTTCAACCACAACGCTGCCAATTATTTCGGCTACGGTAGTGCAGCCAAGGAAGAACTTGGTATCCTGTGCTCAGGGTCGACAATTTCTTAACCTTGTCTAGAAGCTAGGTTGTCTTCAAACTGGGTAGTTACATTAGGAAAGACTAGTGTCACCCATAGTGCCTTGTTACAACTTGGGTTTCCCCAAACCACCAGGGTCCCTGTAGCCAGCTGATAAGGCGGCGCTCCTGAAATAAGTGGTGGGGCCCCTGCACTTTGAAGATTTGAGAGGTCTCAAGCTCCTGCGTATGACAACACGGGAAACCCACGCTAATCTTAGCGGTAATAGTGGCCATCGTCGCAGAAAGCTAGTCATAGCATTCGTGAAAGTTAAAACAAAATAGCAAGAGGAACAATAATCGTAAGGACGCTTGGAAAAGAAACGGCTGAGAACACCAGTAGTCAGATCAAGCCCAGTGTCGCTCCAACGCTGCATCTGCCGTGTCTACTTTGGGCCTTTGGGTTCAGAGTTTTCTTTAGGGTTTAGTGTTCGGATTTCGGGTTGAGAGTTTACAGTTTAGGGCAACATGCCAGGGTTCAGGGTTTGGCATTACTATATCACCACTCACAACGGTATATATGCGCTTGTACTACAACGGTCCACAAACGCGTTCAATTTCGAGATTAATCCCGATGGTGACGCCGCAAACATTCATGTTTAGTTCAATGCTGGCAAGTGAATCAAGTAATTACCCCCTCTGGGTCTTCAACCCGCAACCAACTCTTCAAAACCCCCAAACCCTGTACCACAAAATGAAAACCAAAGCCCGCACCAAACCCCAAACTCAATCCCCAAACAGAACAACCCAACCCTAAACCCTTCGAGGGACACGGGCTCTGGCTTCAGGAAGTCAGCGAATCGTCGGGGCACTGCCAGGCGGCCCAGACGGTTCTGCGAGGATTTGTTTGAATCCGAATAGAGATAGTCTTAATGGCAATAGTCCGAAAATGGTACAAAGACTTAAAAGTGACCACAATCAGAATCATAACGAGAATACTGGCAATTCTACTTACAATAACAATACTTGTAATTGAGGGTAAAATTTGCCTTTGAGGAGCAAGACTTCGGGTTAAGTATGCAAGGTTTGGGCTTGGGCTTTAAAAAGTATAAGTCTGCAACATGAGGACTGGGGCTCTTGTAAACCCTGTGGGGTGTGGGTCACACAGTTGACGTGAAACAAGTTTGTGCGGCTCGCCTTTGGACTCTCTGCATACTCAATTCGCAGACACTGCATGTGCCCTCGCGAACCACAGGTGCCCAGCTTTTGAGTTTGAGGGGCGGACTAGTGCGGGTGCACCGGGTTCTGGGAGCATTGCGATTCGATGTCTGAAGCATAAATCGAGGCTTGCGGTGCAGAGTTCAGCCCGCCTTCCGCCCACGCCGGCAAACGCTGATCACAACTCCTGCAAAGCCACCCAGCACCGTCACTCGCGAACAGGCCTTCAGCGCCTGCTTCGGGGCAAGCCGGACAACCCAACAGGGGAAGCAGTGTGGGCGGGGTAGCTAAGGAGCCCATGAGTTTAGGTTTGAGGTGAATGGAGAACGGATTGAGCAGGATTCTTGCGGGGAGTTCCCTGGAACCAGTTTGGGTTCATCTGAGGCCTGCAAAAAAGTTGAAAAGAAAATAATGAGTAATATAAAAGCCTGAATAATCAGGAAGAGCGTTGTGCTTCATTCCATCTGAACCCTCATATAGTATTGACAGGAGATTGCCTATCTAGGCCCCCTGACCACTCAAACCCCAATCTAAAGCCCAAAGCTTGAATCCTATTCAAAGTCTGTATGCTCCACCCCTGTCATTGCCTGTGGCTCCAGGCGCGCCGGCTGTAAGCTGCGAAACCTGCAAAGAGGCTCCATGTGTTGGGGTTGCTGGGCTCAGAGCTTCTTGCTTCCGCTTTGGGTATGAAGGCCAAGGGCTTAACGTTTGGCAGTAGACTCAGTGGAAGGCTTCCTACAACAAGGAGTCAGGCAATGGATTGGAAATCAATCTGCATTCTTGAGCCAGACCAGCAGACCTGAATTCAACACATGGCTCGACGTCGACGGTGGCTGCTGCTGCCGCCAACTCGCTGTTGATTTTCTCTTGACTTTAGCCTGGTAGCCTGCTGCTTTGACTTCTATTATTCAATGATATTCAATGACAAGGGGGAGGAGGATGAGGAGGAGGTGGTGATGAGTGCAATTTTTCGCTTCAACAATAGCTGCACTGATGCCATGATCACAGTACAGTTTACACTCCGGATCTTGTAAGAAGGAATTTTTACAGCGATACTACACAAGAGGTATGCTGCCAAGTTTGGAAGCCTTAAAAGGTGTGCTCAAAATCCGGGGATCTCCTCACTATGGACCACACAAGCTCTTCCTCTGGGCATGTGTCAAGGTTGCGCCTGACCCTGTGGAAGTGGAAAGGATCCCAGCCAGACTCGCTGAACCTTGGTCTAGCTGTTCCACGAAAAATTCTCAACAGAATCGCCACATAACCCATCCTCATATATTCCTAGGGTTCCTCCCATTCTGACAACCTTCCGAATGCGCACTGACTGCGTTTTCGCCCTGGCAGGCCTGGGTCGGCAGGGAGTCTGAGCTGTCGAGGGGAGCTCGACGAAAGAAAGTTCTGTAGAGGCCATGGCGTTGCAGATGGCTGGATAGGGTATTATACTATACTATAATCTTTTATACCATAACATAGTAGAGGCGGGCTAGGTGTGCTGAAAGAACGATCTGTCTTCGCGTTGACGGCTTGGGATTCATACCTGGAACGAGTTTTCTAGCCTGGGGTGTTACTAAGGCTTTGAAATCAGATCCCAAATGGCATGGCTGGGTCAGGAGATCCCCATAGCGTTAGAAAGGAATAATGAAAAGGAAATTTACTTGCTACATTATGACTTGGTGCCTATTTGGGATTTGTTACGCATCATTTGGGGAAGCTGAAATTCAGGCCTAATAAGGCTGCGTACCTTAACCAACATACACTCCGTACCGGAGATCCTGTAAAGTTTCACATGACGCCATGAGCCTGAATCGTCTGCTGGATGGCACCAAGCATCCCTCACTTGCATCTCCACTATCTCTGTGAACCTTGGCCAAACATTACATCTAAAACCCTAAGACCCAGACCCTAGCCGTGCCTGTAAACTGTAAACCCTAAACCCAAACCCCTCAACCCTAAACCTGAAACCCAGAAGCAACTCAAAGCCCGACCTGCCTTTGCACTAGGTACAGCAGCACCCAACTTTGCTGCCAGCTCAACAACAAGCGCAGCGAACTGGCTCATTCCTGGCAACTGGCCAGGCATTTAAGCTCTTGCTGTTGTTATGTTAGCAACATGGTGCTTCGGGTTTGCAACTGGCTATTTAGGCTCTACAGCATATGCAGGGAGAGCGTGACTATATGACACTACATGCGCTTGAGACCTGCTAACCCATCTTTCATGCGGCTAGAACACTGTTTCTTGGAAATTCATGGGCGACTATAAGAAAGCAATGCGTGGGGAATATTTCCGAGGAGTACCTGGAGCGTCTCCGCTCGTCATGACCTCAACAAGCTGCAGATCATTGCGTCTATCCCTTCCAGACTCCACGGTTTCCCGGCACATCCCGGCTTCAAAACAGAAAGCCGTACAGACAACAGCCCATCCTCCTGCTATAGCGGTGGGTACATCAGCCATCCAGGGCTGACAAGCATGCTTCAGATGCCCAACAGAATCTCTTGCTGATCCAAAACTGCATTGAATATGTTATGCTCATAAAGAAGATCACTTGCAACCGCTAGTTGCAAGCAAGCACTCGCCCTGCAAATCTGAGCAACTAAGGGAAACAGAGGAAATGAGAAAGGCTGATCCGACTTCTACGATTTCGAAGCACCAGTCTTCGTGTGGGTGAATATTGGTGAATCTGACCTTGTTGCTATGATTGAGTCTGCGCCTGTCCTAATCAAATCTGCTTATCTCACCAAGATGGCTTCCATGGTCTGGAGACAGACATGGAAAAAGCGGACAAACTCTGAGCTGATTACCACCTGCAACGGATTGAATTGTAGTCATGTTGGAGCATGGCTTGGACTGTTCAACCTCAAGCCCTATCTCTAACCTTCCACCCCCACAGTCGGTCTGTGGCCCAGAAGACCAACATGAGTAGCGTTTTTTTGGTGGTTGAACCTAGTAAGATTATATTCTTTATATGAAATACTATACCCAAAAAGGAGGATATAATCTTACGCTATATTGGGTACCATAGTATCCCCAAATAAGATACTACTCACATGTTCAA